GAAAAATTATATAAATGGGTCAACTTTTTTTCGAGTTGATTGTACCCAATAATTATGGACCTAATAATAATACGACGCCTCAACCTTCAATTTAAACCAAAGAAATCTCACTTTGTTCATTGGTTTGATCGGTAAACCGACAAACTGGTCCGAGTCCGAGTTAGATAGAATTGACTAGTTCAAACATGATCATCTATGATTCTCAATCTAGTAGTTATTATTTTTTATAAAATTTAAATGTATTAATTATTTTAAGGTGAACTTATGGCCATGATTCAAAAACATTTAAATCAAGTTAATATGAGCTACATTAAGCTAATCCTTAACATGTGCATTATTCATGTTTTCTAGCTCTGTTTACCCATATAAATGAGAGCTAAGTTTCGCTTATGCTATGAGACTTAAAAAATTTTGAATATGTAGAAATGTGATTTGGGCTGCAATATAATTTAATTAGGTTATAGGATAAGAAAACATAATCATAACATTTTAATTTTAAATTATTTTATAATATAAACTTTCTTTTAATTGATATTCTCACTATAAATTATAAAGCATATTTAAGATACTAATATAAAATAAAACAATGTACATTAAATATATTAATTGTTATAAGCTTTACGCATGTATGAATGTATGTATATAAAAAAGAAATGACCGGAGACTATTATACGAGCCCTGACCATCCCTTATGCGCTTATGAATTCGAGTACCACACCCTACATTCGGGGGGAATCAAACCCCAAACCAAAATGAACTTACAACTGACAAACAGATGTCCGACTAATTAATCTGAGTATGTGGCATGTATATATATAATAATAAACATATATCTAGATTTATAATCTACATATAGTCATATCTTAACAAGTTCTATATTGAGTTTAAAGTTTATAAATATATAAAATTTTAATCATGTATCAATTTATTTATCTTTATAATGTATTTATATTATTATATTATTTAAATCATATTAAAATAATTTAAATGTTTATTACATCATCCGATTAAACCCTTGATTCAACCATTAAACTTTGAACATCTTATTCTTATAGTTCAAAAATCAATCCAATTTTCAGTGAAAAATTATATAAATGGGTCAACTTTTTTTCGAGCTGATTGTACTCAATAATTATGGACCTAATAATAATACGATGCCTCAACCTTCAATTTAAACCAAAAAAATCTCGCTTTGTTCATTGGTTTGATGGGTAAACCGACAAACTGGTTCGAGTTAGATAGAATTGACTAGTTCAAACATGATCATCTATGATTCTCAATCTAGTAGTTATTATTTTTTATAAAATTTAAATGTATTAATTATTTTAAGGTGAACTTATGGCCATGATTCAAAAACATTTAAATCAAGTTAATATGAGCTACATTAAGCTAATCCTTAACATGTGCATTATTCATGTTTTCTAGCTCTGTTTACCCATATAAATGAGAGCTAAGTTTTGCTTATGCTATGAGACTTAAATTTTTTTTGAATATGTAGAAGTGTGAGTTGGGCTGCAATATAATTTAATTAGGTTATAGAATAAGAAAACTTAATCATAACATTTTAATTTTAAATTATTTATAATATAAACTTTCTTTTAATTGATATTCTCACTATAAATTATAAAGCATATTTAAGATACTAATATAAAATAAAACAATGTACATTAAATATATTAATTGTTATAAGCTTTACGCATGTATGAATGTATGTATATAAAAAAGAAATGACCGGAGACTATTATACGAGCCCTGACCATCCCTTATGCGCTTATGAATTCGAGTACCACACCCTACATTCGGGGGGAATTAAACCCCAAACCAAAATGAACTTACAACTGACAAGCAGATGTCCGACCAATTAATCTGAGTATGCGGCATGTATATATATAATAGCAAACATATATCTAAATTTATAATATACATATAGTTATATCTTAACAAGTTCTATATTGAGTTTAAAGTTTAGAAATATATAAAATTTTAATCATGTATGAATTTATTTATATTTATATCCTTGCATTATTCAAATCATATTACAATAATTTAAATATTTATTACATCATCCGATTAAACCCTTCATTCAACCATCAAACTTTGAACATCTTATTCTTATAGCTCAATAATCAATCCAATTTTCAGAACCTTTATAGTTCAAATATTTCTTAATCATTAAATGAGTATGATTTAAAGAAACTAAAATTCAACGTTTTTTTTACCAATTTAAAGTAAATGATGGATGTACAAACAATATCTCATTACATTAAAGTTAAGAAATTCGGTGTTAAATATTGCAGTATCTCATTGGTTTTGATTCTTCTTTTATTAATCCCATCATTAAGATAATAAATAATATTTTAAGGAGGATTTTTAATCAAAATATCTTGGTTTCTGTTCTTCCAGAGTATGTATTAATTTTTTTATTTTATTTTTATTAAAAAAATAACCATGCAAAAATGTGAAGTTATGCTTTAACTAGGGTTGTGAATTTCGGTGTTTGCGAATAGCTCGTGTTTGGCTCGTTAAGCAGCTCGTGTTCGGCTCGTTCGTTAACCTTAATGAGCCGAACACGAACAAATTTTTAAGCTCGAAATATTAACGAGCCAAACACAAACAAACATTTGTTCGCTCGTGTTCGGCTTGAATTTCCTCGAAAAGAAATACATATATAAATATACACACATATAATACATATTCATAAAATTCAATATTATAAATTGTAATTAATTAAAACTTTTTAAAATAAAAAAAATTATCAAAATTTAAAAAATTAAATCCTATAAATTATAAAATATAACAAATTATTAATAAATATTAGTTATATAAATATTATATATTTATATAATATAAGATATAATTAATATAATGTAATATATAGGTATAAAATTAAAAAAACCCTAACTCTCGGATGTTCTCGGGTTCGAAATCGTGAAAGTCGTTCGGCTGCCTCTCCTCTTCCGACTCTTCTCCTTCCTCAATTGCAAAAGGCGGTTGGCCGCGAGTCCTCTTCGGATCCTTCCTCTTAAATCGCGAAAGGCGTTCGGCCGCGAGTCCTCTTCTGACTCTTCTCCTTCCTCACAAATTGCGAAAGACGTTCGACCACAAGAGCTTAGGGTTTGTCGTTTGTGTTTGCTGCTCTTCTCTCTTTCGAGTCATTTCCTTCTATTCTCAAAATCGCGAAAGGTTTTCAACGGTGAGAGTTTAGGGTTTTCTCTTACTCTTTTCCGATTCTTCCTATTTCGAGCTGAACTCGAGCCAAAAAATAATATTCAAGCCAAACACGAACACACCCTTCATGAGCTATTTCAAACACGAGCCACTATCAACCGAGCCAAACACGAGCCAAACACGAGATGCCATGCGCCTCTCTAAAATTAAATCTATAAGATAAAACATTATTCCTGATATTGTATTTAATTACAACATGAGAATTTTCAGCTTTTGCAAAGTCTACATTCCAAGCAAACACACAAATTATTAATTATCATAAAATTATGTAGCTACGTATAAGTGTGTACTCATTAAGTCCCATGTTAGGGTGCAAAAGGCATATAGATTGAGACTTGTAGGTTTAATTTTAGAGAGGAACATGACGGGAAAAATATTACATCAGGACTCCTAACGTAGAGTTACATTCGGAGAGTTCATTGATTTGTGTGATCCGACCTGATAACACAAAAGAATATTCCTTATATGTTATTTCATGTTATTCAGGTGTAATTGTAGTGGTATTAATGTGTTATTGCGTTATTATAACACCAAGAATATTCCGAGAACACAATAACACATGAATACCACCACAATAACATCTAAATAATGTGGAATAACACGGGAGGAAAATTTCGTTGCGCTAAAACGATTTTTTTTTTATTTTTCTGTCACCTCCACGTGTCCGTATATCAGTGAACTCCGAATGTAGCTCTACGTTAGGAGTCCTAATGTAATATTTTTCCCATGACATGAGACTTAATGTGTACACACTTATAGCTACACACTTAATTTGATGATAATTAAGTCTTTTATGTGCTTGCTTGGAATGTGTACTATGCAAAAATTGAAAATTGTCATGTGGTAATCAAATACAATATCAAGAATAATGTATAATCTTGAAAGGTAAGAGTGCCACCTAACCATGAATTTATTCCCAAAATAATGATATTTCAAAACCCGGGGTCTATGTTGTAAAAAAAAAATTCTTCTATTGAAGACATGATTTATTTTATTTTGAGGTAAATATTTTCTAAAGAGACAAGCATCTATATTTAATTATATTTTAGAAAAAAAAATTTTCCTTTGAAACATTCTTAAGGTTCCATATTTCTATAGATTTTCAAAGTTCTTTTTAATATTACTATTTAAATATTTTAATTGGAATTGACTCGATTCGAAACAATTATTATTGGAGGTCGAAAGGAAAAAAAAAAAGGAGCGTTAAATATTGAAAAGTTTGGTGGTAATCCAAATTATGTGATTTTTGGCTCGTGTCTTAACTCGTTTATTTCGATTCAATCTCCATCGGAGCCAAAATTCAAATCAATTTTCGAGCAATTAACAATCTTCGAGCTAAATTCACAGTCATACACTGTTAAGTATCTTTTTTCGAGCCGAGCTCGAGTCAATTTGAATTGGCTCGTAGTTCAGCTCATTTATTTCGATCCGATCTGAATTCAAGCCAAAATTTGAATTAATCTTCTAACAATCCTTGAGCTAAATTCACAAACCTATTTACATACACACCACTTGATTCTTATGTATTTACATATTAACACCTACATTTTTTACAGATACCACCTTCCACCTTACCTATGCATTAAAAAGTGTATCACTTTATAAAAGTTAAAACAGTGGTATTTTTTAAGTGATAAATAATTTGGATGGTACAAATGTAAAAAACTATAGTCAATAGATATGTAAAAACAGAAAAATTAGGTGGCATATATGTAAATGCCCTAAGATAAATTTGTACAGACCAACGGTCGATAGCAGTTTCCCATGTAAGATGCAGAAAAAAAATTATTTGAAATTTAATGAATCCCAAAATCAACTTTTCTTCCACTTATACCTGACCACCCAATTCGTATAATTCCAACATGAACAAAATTTGTGCCATTAAGGCCAAATCGTAGAAGCCAGACTTGTTATTAGATCAGTTAGAGATGATTTTGAGGAGCTCTATATCAAACAGCAAGGTCTTGTCTATAAGGCCCTGATTCTTCAGCACAAAATCCAGAGCTCTCTGCCCCTAAAGAATAATAAAATTAAGGGGACATTTACATATATATATACCACTCAATTCTTATGTATTTACATGTCTGACAGGATAAGCTGCTTATCCCAAAATCAACATTTTCTACTTTGGGCCTGTTTGGGGCAGCTTGTGCGTTTCAGGATAAGCTGCTTATCCTGAAACGCGGCCCGTGGGCCGGCCGCAGTGGTCGACCCGAGGCCCGCATTTAGTGTGAAAACCCAAACGCAGTTTTGGATAAGCTGGCGAAATGCGCGAACCAAACGGTACGGCGGCGTTTTCAAAACGCCGCCTGCACTTATAAATTGCCCCAAACGGACCACTAGACTTATGACACTTGAGGTGGCATGTATCTAAAAGTTGAAATTAAGGTGTTAGATATGTAAATATATAGGAATTGAGTTGTATGTATGTAAATCTTGCTGAAATTAAATTATTTTCTCAGTAGAAGACGAAGCAAGATAAAAGCAAGGGAAAAAAAGTTGGGTTAAGCTTACTGAAAAGGTTGTAGGTCTTGGCCCAAGCTTATTAAAGTCATTATCAGGATACCCCAATTCAGGTGGTACAATTAGCCTGCATTGCTGAGAATTTGACCGTTAGGATTCAAAAAGAGAACATAATAACAATATACAAGTGAATTTATTGTGACCTTCCTTGCAAGCGTACATGAGGTTTATCACTTGGTAGTTTTGGGTGAAGTAAAAATAATAATTCCTCTTCAATTACCTATCACTAGGTTACAAGATAAATAGGAGGGGAATAACATAAAATTAGGAAAGCCACAAAATTTCAATGCTAGAAAAAAAGAAAAAAAAATTACCAACTATAGATAATTCCCAAAGTAGAAAATGTTGAAAGTATAAAGTAATAAAAATAGAAGATGCCAAAAACAAAATTCCTAAAATTTGGACACCCTCTCAAGTTGGAGCATAAATATCTATTATGCCCAACTTGCTTATAAGGAGCTCAAAACTAGACCTGAAAAGTCCTTTGGTGAAGATATTTGTTATTTGTTGTGTTGCCCGTATGAAATTCATGCAAATAGCTCCACAATCAATCTTCTTTTCTGTGAGTGTCTATCAATTTTCACATGTTTGTTCGATCATGTTGCACTGAATTTTCCACAATGTATATGACAGTTCTACTGTCACAGTACAACTTCATTGACATGTTTAACGGGATCCACAACTCTTTAACAATTCTCTTCAACTATAATCTCACATACTCCATTAGTCATAGCTCTATATTCTGGCTTGATACTACTCATTGCCATCACATTTTGTTTCTTACTTTACAATTTAACCAAATTTCCCTAAACATAAGTACAATATCCGGACATACATCTTCTGTCAATAGTTGAGCTTGCCTGGTGTACTATTTGGATACCCAAAAACCATGTTAACTGCTTCAAGGTGTTTCTCATAGGGCGAATGCATAAATTGACTTACCAAACTCATACAATGACGATCTATGGCTCTGCAAGTGATAAATATATCAACATTCCCACCAATTTTTTATATCAAACTATATTCAGTAGGTCACCTTCCTTCCTGTCTCCCAGTTTCTGACTGGGATTAATGGGAATGTCGACAAGCCTATTACAATCATTTGTCCCAATTTTCTTAGGAAGATCAAGAACATACTTCTGCTGGAAAACAACAAATCCTTTCTTCGATCTAGCAATCTCTATGCCAAGGAAATATCTCAAAGATCCTAAGTCTTTGGTCTAAAAAACAGATGATTGGGGAGTCTTCAATAAGTTCATGTCATATATATCATCTCCGATGAGAATTATATTGTCAGCATACATGATAAATTTGTCTATCATTCCATTCTTTGAATGTCTGAAGAACATTTTATGATCTCATTGCCCTTGGGCATTCCCTTGATCTTTAATAAACAATGTAAATTCGCAAACCACGGTTTCAATGACCGCTTCAACCCATATAAAGACTTTTTAGTTTATAAACATTTGCGTCGAACTTCTCACTAAATCTTAGAGGTGCATCCATGTAAACTTCTTCTAAGTCTCTATTGAAAAATAAATTTTTTGTATCTAACTGTTGTAAGGGCTACTCAAGATTAATTGCAAGTCATAAAACTCTTATAGAGTATAGTTTTGTGTAAGTTATGGAGTATAGTATTGTGATTGAGGTGATAGTCTCAAAGTAATCAATGTCATGGGTTTGAGTGAAGCCAATCGAGCATTGTACCGTTATGGAGAGCCAACAAAATTATATGTGAGTATAAACACCCATTTATATCCAACAGTTTTCTTCCTAATAGGAAAATAAACCTTCCCACGTGCCAATTTTTTCAAAGCATTCATCTCCTTGAAGACAGTCTCCTTCCACTTAAAAACTTTTAGGGCATCGTGCATAGTGTAGGAAACTCCGTACAAGATAAATCTGAGGTAAATGCATGAAAAATAGGAGAAAGATTTTCATATGACACATAATGAGAAAATGGATGTTGAATGCAAGATCTCACCCCATTACAAGCGTCAATGACAAGACTAGAATCATCAGACTAAGGATAAGAGTACGACTCGGGTTCATAACTAGAAGCTCAGAATTTGAAGATGAAGTGGACTGATTATGGGGCAAAGGCTCCTAAGCAGTGTAAGAGATTCATAGACAGTTAGAGGTTCTACTACTGAGACGGCGAAAATTGCTTTGGCTTCCTATTAATATAGAGTTATAGCAAGCAAGCATAACTTCATTTATTGAGAGTTTTCCTGGTTATCTCCTAAGAAGTAATTGACCACGAGCATACATCGTTGTGGGCAATCTTTTTAAACCCAGAACAAACCAAAATTGCTTTTATCCACTGGCTCAAATATAAAAGTCCTTTATAAGGCTTTCCTTATATGTTTGCTAAGGCTGAGTATGGTCTGTTTCGTTTTGGATCACCCTTCTTTAGTTCATGTTACGAAAACTGTTTTATAAGATATCTTCATATCCGTCCTTTCTATTTTTTCTTTTTATTTATTTAGTTCATTCTTACCTTTCCTTGCTATGCTACTCTAAGCATATGCTGTGTGAAAAGGGAGTTCTAAATGGCTAAATACAACGAGGGCATTTCATTCAAAAAACAAAAATGGGCGGCGCGAACATATAATTATAAAAGTAGAAAATACAAAAGAATCGAAAACATAAATGCTTAAAAATTCCAGCAAACTTTATATCTGAAAATAAAATTAATGATTTGTATGTACAAATACTTCAATGTAACGTCCAAGGAATTATAATCTGGTTTGCCTCTAGTCAGCACATTATTAGTGAATGAAAAACAATAGGGGCATTTACATACATACCACCCAAATCTTATGCTTTTACATATCTAATACCTAGACTTTGCTTTTTACATTTATACCACTCAAATATTTTATATCACATAAAAAATACCACAATTTTAACTTTTATAAAATGAAATACACCTTTTCAGGCATAGACAATGTTAAATAAATGTGTTAAATATATGTAAAAAATTGAAATTTAGGTGTTAAATATGTAAATACAAAAGAATTGAGTGGTATGCATATAAATATTCCAAAAAGCATGATATCCTTATATAAATTGTATTAAGATGGGATTAAAAATCATTGGATTTGATTTAAATTTGGTGCTATATATCTAAAGAGTTTGTATGGCACTAATTTCAAAATAATCCCAGTGATTTTTAAGTCCATCCTAATTCGATTTGTATCATGATATTTGACATAACTTTTCTCAGTGAATTAATATATATTCGTCCTCCATTATTACAGTTTCTGCTTTATCAGTACGAATTACTTGTGGAAACTATGGGTCAAAAAGAATTTATTATAAACAAGAACTGAAATTATAAACTATTGTATTATAGTTTAGAAATAATGAAACAGATATGAAAGAATTGCCCAGGAATGAGTAGAGTGTCAAAAGAGTCCCCTGGCTATTTACAAGAGCCATTTTAGTTCTAAATTAGTCCCCAAGCTCTTTTAATATTGACTGAAATAGTCTCCAAAAAAGTCTATTTCAACCCCTATTAAAATAGTTTAACGACCAAATTGACATTTTTATAGACTTCAGCACTAAAATGACCAATCCAAAGGATCTGGGAAATAAAAGAGTGTATAAAACTATATTAACATATTCTGGTACAATTTGTATTAGAGTGATGAGGCAAAATATTTAGAATTGGAAAACCAAAGTTTAAAATTAGAAGGCATTTAAAAATTTTTTTAAGAGAGAACTAATCCATAAGTGTTGTTTTTCACTTTATATAAAACTATTATAATTCTTTGATCTCGTAAACCATATATGTTATATCAGGTTGGATCGTAAAGATAATAATTACTTGAGGATATCTATTGGATTTTTTTTCCTGCGTAATTCTAAATTACCAAAATTTACAACCATCTACCCATTCATTCGGTAATCTTGCCATGTAGAGATGGAATACTTTGGCCCAGTTATAATACTTACAAATTAGAAGCACACTTCTTCTCCTGGGACTTCTCCTCCTGGGATTCAGATGCTCTCCAATTATTATTGTAATTGAACGAATTGAAGTTATCAAATCTGGCCATCCGATCCTATTTGGATGGCCAAGATTCGATTTTTAAAAGTCAGCGTGGTTTTCAAACAGCTTCGACAAATGAATTGGTTGATTGAGAAAGTTATCGAGAAATTGGAGAGAATCCAAATTCCTTCTCCAATGCAGAGTTGAATAAAATCCTTGAATATGTTACAATTGAATTACAACTTAAAACCTAATATATGATGCAATAAAATTAGTTTCAAACTTAAGAATGTAAGGCATCAAAATTTTATTTATAGTCCTTCAAGTTGAATATGGGGAAATGAAACAGGCGGTCTATTTCAACCCCTATTAAAATAGTTTAACGACCAAATTGACATTTTTATAGACTTCAGCACTAAAATGACCAATCCAAAGGATCTGGGACTGTTTTGACACTTTTCTCGTTTGAATCAAGAAAATAATTCTACATGCAGAACACACCTAATAGGTTATTTAAGATAGAAGTGCCAAACACTAATAGATTTAATACCTCACCTCCTGATACCTCCCAGAGACATGCCAATTATAGCTTCTTCAAATGCTGGTATGACCTGAAAAATCACAATATCATACGCCAACAAGGTCAGGAAGTTAATTTGAAGTGCCACAAGTATTTTGTTTTCTAGAAAGGAATGTCTTCATAAATAAAAGAGTGTATAAAATTATATTAACATATTCTGATACAATTTGTATTAGAGTGATGAGGCAAAATATTTAGAATTGGAAAACCAAAGTTTAAAATTAGAAGACATTTAAAAATTTTTAAGAGAGAACTAATCCCTAGTGTTGTTTTTCGCTTTATATAAAACTATTATAATTCTTTGATCTCGTAAACCATATATGTTATATCAGGTTGGATCGTAAAGATAATAATTACTTGAGGTTATCCATTCATTCGGTAATCTTGCCATGTAGAGATGGAATACTTTGGCCCAGTTATAATACTTACAAATTAGAAGCACACTTCTTCTCCTGGGACTTCTCCTCCTGGGATTCAGATGCTCTCCAATTATTATTGTAATTGAACGAATTGAAGTTATCAAATCTGGCCATCCGATCCTATTTGGATGGCCAAGATTCGATTTTTAAAAGTCAGCGTGGTTTTCAAACAGCTTCGACAAATGAATTGGTTGATTGAGAAAGTTATCGAGAAATTGGAGGGAATCCAAATTCCTTCTCCAATGCAGAGTTGAATAAAATCCTTGAAATTGTTACAATTGAATTACAACTTAAAACCAAATATATGATGCAATAAAATTAGTTTCAAACTTAAAAATGTAAGGCACAAAATTTTATTTATTGTCCTTCAAGTTGAATATGGGGAAATGAAACAGGCGTCAAAAGGAAATTTTAACTAAGAATCCCCTCCAGTAGAAGGAACATTATCTGTGATATTTATAAATAATCCAAGCCATGAATCTACATTACATTCAGTTAAAATTAACAATTTTCCAATATGAAAAATATTTATTAACATCTTTCAAAATTGATAGATTTTCTTATATCCATTCAAGCACATCGAATCATTTCCATCCCTTGTGCCTATGCAAAAATTAAATTCATTAAACAAGCTTGACAAGTAATTAATGAGGTAGAGAATTTTGATATTCATGCATTTTTATTAACCCATTAAATTAACTTATTTAAAAAATCAAGGAACAAAAGAAGCTATCTTTTACTTTTAAGTAATTAACGAAAACCTGAAATGAAATTTCAGGTGCAGAGGGCGGTATGCGCCCCCACTACAGAGAAACTTCTTAGGGGCCGTTTGATTAGCTAAAAAAAAGGAATGCAAAGTAAGAGAAATAATATCAATTTGAAATGTGGTGGATTTGAAAAATTTTAAAATTACTTGGTTGGGTGTAAAATAAATGCAGATTATAATTTTTTATATTTGATTTGAAATAAAATAAATTCAATATAAAATTCAATAGCAAAAGTGGCAGCGGCGGAGGCGGTAGTGGCAGGCACCAGAAGCTTGTGCAGTGAACTTAAAAATTGGTCAAATCAGTGAGTTTTGGATTTGCCAAAATTAAGCTAAGGGGCGAGTTTCAAATATTTCTTTTTTAACCAACCAAACGCCAAACCTATGGAAACCCTCGCAAAAGGAATACATCATACAGGTAATGTAGCAAACCTCAAAAAAAAAAAAAGATGCATTACACTGATAATGCAGCAAACCAAATAGCCCATACGAATATAGGAATGCAACACTGATAATGTAGGAAACCAAAGTCCATACAAATATAGGAATGCGACTGCTATAACAATAATAATTAAAAAAAATAATTGTAATATAAATTATATGGATTAGGAGATTACACTGGATTCAACTAACAATAATTATACTTGGATCCAGCTCTCCATGTAGAGGTGATAATATACGAAGTTCTAAATGCTAATTTGAAACTAAAAATTCGATTTCAGATGGAGCCAATTTTGACTCAAGATGATGAAATTTAAGTCAAATTTTGAGTTGAGTCAAGTCAAGCTTATATAAGTGTTTATTAAATATGAATTAATTTGCATGCCAATATGTACATGAATATGTATAAATTATATTATATTAATCATAAAAATTGTACTTACGCATCATAAAAGAGAGAAGTAATACAATTCAATAACCGAATAATGACAATTTGAGTTCAAAATCTTAAGCATTTTAAAGGTGTCCCTGAATTAATCATAGGGTTCTATAAGCAGGGATGATGGGATCAGTCCATAGATTTTCTATTCTTGTAGTATTTACCTAGAAAGGATACAACGAATAAGAAGATTTTAATGATACCGCTTTGCCAATTTGAACTAATCCTATCCTGTGCCTCGAATACAGGAAAAGTTTAAGGTCCGAATGATGATATTAAAAAATTAAAACCATCACATAACCACAAGGTTTTAATTCCCAATTAGATAAAACACGAAAGCGGCAAGTTAAATACAAGGATCAAGTAAAATAGAAATAATCTATGACGAGAAATTTACATACATACCATCTATTTCCTACATATTTACATATCTCACATCTAAACTTTCTATTTTACATTTAAACCACTCAAATCTTTCATATCACATCAAAAATACTACCATTTTAACTTTTAAAAAGTGAAATACACCTTTTTATGCATAGGCAAAATGGCGTGTATGTAAAAAAATTGAAGTTTAGCTGTTAGATATGTAAACACAAAGGAGTTGAGTGGCATGAATGTAAATCTACCAAATAAATAACAAAAAATGAAATGCTAGAACAAGCTGATGCAGGCCCTAATATGACCAAGTAATTATACCTGCTGTGATCCAAGCTTGAATTTGAAAAAATCCTTATCTTCACCCTGAAGATCAGAAACAATTGTTTTAAGAGGTATTTTCCAAATTTAATTAATGATAATGTCGCCATAATCTATCTAATAAATCAAATATCTCAAGATCATAGAAATAGAAAAAATCTTTCTATGGACATTTACATAAGCAGCACACAATGCTTATGCATTTAAATATCTGACTCCTAAACTTTCATATTTACACAACACTCTAAACTTTAATATCACATCAAAAATAGCGCTACTACCACTTTTTAAAATTGAAATACACCTTCCCATGCATAGGTTTAAAGCACCAATGTGCTATGTATGTAAAGACAAAAGTTTAGGTTTGAGATATGTGAATTGTGTGCTACAAATGTAAATTTGCCTTCTTTTAAATGCTTTAATAAGAGTAAGACTGCAAAATACCAGATCCAAGGTTAGATTAAAGGAGTAGAATTGCATATTACCTCAAATGAACCGCCTTTAGTCTTATTACGGGCTTCGAAAATTCGTCCATAGTATCCAATTGTGTAACCATCCCAGTCAACCTTAAATGCAATCATAATTTCATGTTTGCATCAGAGTTCATGCAGCTCAAACTCAACAAAAGGGAATATCACAGGGGCTATATAAGAACTACGAATATCTAATCCTAACAGATTTATACATATTCACTAACATAAAAATATTTTTATCTGGAATGTTTAGTCCAACTTTCATGCTAATTATTAAAATTAAAAAAGTTGTTTGCTTCCATTTTACTATTAATCTCCGAAAAATCCCAGTGGGGTTCATTCCAAATGGCATGTAGATTGTGTGTATTTGGTCAGGATCCAAGCCTGTTGCCTATAGTGAGAGCCAAATTAACTCATCAGGCCAAGGCCTGTTAGTCAATTACATTCATTTGACCTCCTAAACTGAACTAACCTAATACAGTCCCAACTATCCTAAAATGGCCATTAGTTGAGTTAACATGGCCTTAAACGACTTAGCATAATGCTTGTTGTCCTAATATGGTCCTAGTTCACCTAAAATGATTCAAAATGACTTCCTATCTGATCTAACATAGTCTCAAGTAAGTTAATGTGATTTCAAATGACCTAGCACTGCTTAGATGGGGTCCCAGTTGACCTAGTATTGTCCTTGTTGACTTTGCCAATCCAAATAGGCCCAAAAAGATAGTTGGCATAATCGACCCAACTTGAGCACAACAGACCAAATTTATCCCGGACTAACATGGCAGAGCCCCAGATAGCCTTAGTTGAGTCATATTAACTCATTAGACTTAGCTGGGAATAGCATTTAAACACAACTCAAGCTCAAGTGAATCACTGGTCAAACCTAATTGACTAAATTGGACTGAACTGGCTCAAGATTGACTTAATTAACCCAACCGAACATTATAGCTCTTCGAGAGTGCAATCATCGCCTTAATTGGCTCAATTGATCATCGACCTAGTTTAATTGGCCCATTGGCTAACCTAGACTAACTCAATTAAGTAGGAAAAACCCAACTTTGCTAATTAAATTGTCTTAAATTAATCGACCACCCCTTGGCTAACCTAGACTAGCCTAATTAAGTTATCAAATTAATCTGGACCATCTAAATTAAGTTGAGAATTAATGTAAAAAAGCTCAATTAGGAGAATCAAACTAAATTGGCCCAATCACCCCATGGTCAGGCCAATTAGGCCTTGAACAGTTGAAATGTACTAGACCGAGCCATCTAAATCATATTGGATTCAGGCCTAATTGGCTAATCTAAGATAAATTATGGACCCTCACCAACAATTGAATACTTAAACCCTATTGAATCAGTCCAAGGAGTCTAATTAAGCTCATTTAGCTAAAAGAGGTTAAGGTCATGAAATTGAGTCAAATGAAATTAACAACTTGAACCAAATTGGCTCGTTAGATTGGGCCGATGCTACTTTACAAAGCATGAACACTTCAAAACAGCTTTCATGTTCATGTCTGACACGAACATGCCTTAGAAACGTTTAGAAACGTGCTTGACACACAAAATCATATTTTATGGTGATGTATCTCACTTCCCGAGTGATGTGCTCCCACCTCATTAGGATAAGAGAGTTGTGACTAGTAGAACTCTGAGCCAAGTGGATTCCACAGTTCATAACACTCTTTATAACCTTGAATCAAATTGAAACATAAACTACAATTAAAAATTGAAAACACTTACATGACACTTAAAGGACTTAAATTCCAACTATCCAATAGTTAAAAAAAAAATGAAAAAAAAAGCATCAAACTCAAACTACAACATGAACATAAAAATTAGAATGACTACCACATAAACCATAATTTTAGACAATTTGTCAGTCCACTAACGTAGATTAGGTTATGACGATGGTTGAATATGTCTTCATTGTGATTATGAATGTTTGTGCTTTGTATGCTCATGTTTATGCTCTGTGCCATTGTAGATGGATACTTAAACCGGTTACTAGATGTTAAGGCAGTTTGTATTAATCTGATATAAGCTAAAAAGAGGATAAAATGTAATCAAATTATATTTTATGCAGGTGTTTGTTTCCTTATGCACCCATATAAACACGACCAAATAGGACAAAGGGCATGACGCCTGAAGGTGCTAAGTCCATATGGCTAATTAAGCATTTTGGATCACCAATTCAAACCTAATTGTCTAATTAAGCTCATTTAGCTAAAAAAAGTTAAGCTCATGAAATTGAGTCAAATGAAATTAACAAATTGAACCAAATTGGCTCATTAGATTGGGTCGATGCTACTTTGTGAAGCATGAACACTTCAAAATGCCTTTCATGTTCATGTCTGACACGAACATGCCTTAAACACATCTAGACACGTGCTTGACACATAAAATCATATTTTATGGTGATGTATCTCACTTCCCAAGTGATGTGCTCCCACCTCATTAAGATAAGAGAGTTGTGAATAGTTGGACTCTTAGCCAAGCGGATTCCACAGTTCATAACACTCTTTATAGCCTTAAATCTAATTGAAGCATAAACTACAATTAAAAATTGAAAGCACTTTCATGACACTTAAGAACATAAATTCCAACTATACAACAATAAAAAAAAAATTTTAAAAAATAAACATCAAACTCAAACTACAACATGAACATAAAAATTAGAACGACTACCTCATAAACCATACTTTTAGACAATTTGTCAGTCCACTAACCTAGATTAGGTTATGACAATGGTTGAATGTGTCTTCTTTGTGATTATGATCGTTTGTGCTTTGTATGCTCATGTTTATGCTCTTTGCCATTGTAGATGGATACTTAGACCGGTTACTTGTTCATAGACTAGATGTTAGGGCAATTTCTATTAATCTGATATAAGCTAAAAAGGAGCATAAAATGTAATCAAATTATATTTTATGCAGGTGTTTGTTTTCTTATGTACCCATATAAACACGAACAAATAGGACAAAGGGCATGGCGCCTGAAGGTGTTAAGTCCATATGAGTGTTTTACTTGTGATATGTTGATGTGCATATTTTCTGTTTTGACCTTTGTTTTGAACATTTTTTAGGCATTTTGAACTTTCAATGTAACTCATAGAATTAGGTTAGGGTCTGCAGGTATGGGATGAGCAAGATGTGCCGCTACCAAACAATAACTAGTGATGCCTGGATGACCCGAAACACGACAACAAAAGGAGAAGCAGATGAACTATGATAAAAATCCATGGGTCATCGTAGTTCTAGGAATACTCCGGAGTATATATGGGCAAGAGCTCGGTTGCCCATTTTCCTTTTCTTCAGGTGTGTGCCATTGTACCCAACCACATCAGCCTTTAATTTATATTATTTCTTTTGTGCATGTTGTTTGTTTATAAAATATACTCATTAGAGATAGATATTTTTTTATAGGATTCTTTCTGTGATGTGCACTTATGTTAGCCTAGATTTTGTTAAGCTCTTAGTGTAACATTTCTACTCAGCCTAACAACTCAATCAAATTTTTTAAAACCAAACTTAAAAATAAATAAAAATAAAAAAGAAATCACATCCCTAGCATTAAATTGCATAGAAATAACAATTAAAATCGAGTAGAAACTAATATGGCTCGTCTTCTAACCTGAGCAAGCGGATCATGTTCATCATATTAGCTTCTCCTTATTTTAGACATTCACCCATTGCACGAAAAAGAGAGCCAACCAGTGAGGATCATCGCCCTTATAGGGTGAACTCTGCCTTTTATATTCAACTTAGCCTATAAGGACTTTCTATGCCTGCATACATACTTAGGATGCATTCTCAACACAACCTTCAAGTATAAAAATCAAAGTGATCATTTCAGTTGAGTCAAAGTAAAAAGAAAAATAAAATGTGAATTAGTTAGGTGTACATGTTACACGAGCCACTTGATCTTCAGAATCGAGTTGTATGTCGTAACGCAATTTTCCTAAATAATAACAACCTACCACTCTCATTGTATGTGTAATCATCAACATGAATTTAAAAGATAGGTTTTAGCTGATAAACCTTCCAAGATGAGTTGTAAGTCCGGGCAAGTCAAGCTGGATTTCACCCCTCAGTTGGAGTGAAGTACTTGAGTTTCATCTTCTTAGACTATGTTCGAGCCTTCTGTCCTTATCGATAAAGCTCAACATAATTTAGGTTCTAAGACGATTCTATTGATTTTGACAATGGAAAGTCTTCACCTTGTGGGCAGGCAACACACCTTGGCAACACAAGATATGAAGAAATGAAATGAACATGTTTTGCATTTTCAAAGAAAGATTTGTATACAAATTAAATGAGAAAAAAAAGTTTTATTAATACTGAAAATTTCACTGATAAAACTAGATTGAAAATAGAAACTAGCTGAATTAAAACAGAAATGATAACATGAAACAACTACTCAAAACCAATAAAGAAAATTACAATATCCAAAACAACTACTAAGGAAAAATATCGAAAAAGAAAAACTTAAAGCTGCCAAGTCTGCTCGGTAGAGATGGTCATGCTATTGGTTGAATGAGACATGTTATGCAAATTATCAAGGAACGAGTTTGACAAATAAACTCAGCAAGTAATAATAAATTATTAAAGCACAAATAGTAAGAGAAATGAGGCATGAAGTATGAACAACAAATAAGGAAAAATTTTTCGTGCATATATAACATCATGAAGCAAAACAATAAGTGAAAAACCAAATATGCCCAAATATCATAAAAATATACAATTAAGTTTATTATTATTATGCTTTTTATTTATAATGGTTGATTTTAACAAATACCCTGAAACCGGGACGATCAAATATCAACCCAAGGAAGGTAATTTCCTGTAGAGTCGTCACTTTGTGGGCCCGTCGGCCCGCCCCGCGGGCCCGCCTATATCCAAAAGGATTCCACCGACTTACATATCTCACACACAAACATATCAAATTGTTTCTATGTAATTTCACAAAGGCTTGTGATATGACGTGAATCCACATGCATGTTCATAAAATGCAAGTAAAGGAAAACATTATAATTGCAAAATTATTCAAATATGCAACAGTAAATTAAGGTAATTAGCAATTTAATTATGA